CCATTTGAGGATGGCGAATGGTCCTGCATAGTCCACCCCTGTGTGGAGAGATGCTCTTGCTGGTGAGATTCTTGTTGCTGGTAGTTGACCCATCTGTTGCTGGGCTTGTCTTCCTCNATGGCGAATGGTCCTGCATAGTCCACCCCTGTGTGGAGAAATGCTCTTGCTGGTGAGATTCTTGTTGCTGGTAGTTGACCCATCTGTTGCTGGGCTTGTCTTCCTCGGTGTCTGGTGCAGATGGCACAGCGTTGAATATATGCTCTAACTGTGCCTCTGCCGCCGATTATCCAGTACCTTTGACGTGTGTAGGCCAAGGTGAGTTGAGTTCCTCCGTGTAGTGTTTTGTGGTGAGCTTCTTCGATGACTAGTGTGGTGAGGCGTGACTGGCGAGGCAAGATTATTGGCTGAATTTCGTCTGGATTTAACTGCGAGTTCTTGAGGCTTCCCCCAAGTCTCATGATCCTTTCGTTGTCTAGTGTGGGTGTCAGCTTGGCTAGTTGATGATTTCTCGGTAGTTGGTGATTTCTCTGGAGTACTCGAATGGCTGGCCCAAAGTATTGATGTTGTGTTATCTTTACCCAAAATAACCTCGCGTCGTTGAGTTCTCTTGTTGTCAAGACAGGTCCCGGGGGCGTTGGCTGCCTCCTGAATCTGTCGATAGCTCTGTTGACCGTAGCTGTTACGGCTAGCAATTTAGCCATCGTCTGATATCTGTTGAGTAGCTCTGCAATTTCGTTGATTTTAATTGCAACTGGATGTGCTGGTGCTGGTTTTGCTTCTCTGGCCACTTCTGGGATGTCCATAGCTGGGGCGTCGATTGATGATTGTGGCCATTCTTCAAGATCCTGATTGATCCACTCAGGTCCTGACCACCACAGTTGATCTTCTAGCTGGCTCGGTAATATGCCTTTGGAGGCACAATCAGCTGGATTCTCCTTTCCACTGACATGTCTCCAGGTAGCATTCGGGAGAGTTTCCTGGATCTTGACGACCCTGTTGTGGACGAAGTCCTTCCATCTTGATGCGTGGCTCCTGATCCAAGCTAGTGCTACTGAAGAATCAGACCAGAGATAGGTGTCTACCTGGTCGAGTTGGAGCATTTTCTTCGTTGATGCCACTAGCTGAGTCAGTAGAAGAGCTGCTGTGAGCTCTAGACGAGAGATGGTCATGCGCTTGAGTGGTGCTATCTTAGTTTTCGCGCATACCAGTACTGTTGATGTCGAGTCGTTGATGGTTTTGATGCGAATATACACCACTGCACTCATGGCTACCGTTGAAGCGTCTGCAAATCCATGAATTTGGATGTTGAGTGTCTCTGTTGAAATTCTCAGCCATCTAGGTACAATTACTCTGTCTAGGTCGTTGAGATTCTCTCGGAATGTCTTCCAGCGTTGAACATAATCATCTGGAAGAGGATCATCCCATTTTAGTTTCAATCTCCAAAGATCTTGTAGGAGAATCTTTCCCTGGACAACTGGTGTGATAAATCCCAGTGGATCAAAAATCTGGGCTATTTCTGAAGAGACGTGTGTTGATGCCAACACAATCCAAGTACCTTGGTGACTGACTCCTCGAACTGGATAATTTCTTCGTCAGTTGATAGGGCCAACTCATGCAGAGCCTCTGGACAATTGCTGCTCCACTTCTGTAGAGAGAAGCCTCCTGCATGGCAAAGCCCTTGTAGTTGCGTTGCGATCTCCTTGAGACCGTCTTCTGTCTCTGCACCGCCGTAAATGTCGTCAACGTAACGACCTCCGGTGAGTGTCTCTACTGCTGCTGGGAAGCGGTGCCTTTCATCTTCTGCTAGTTGTTGAAGAACACGTAAGGACAACCATGGAGAATAATTTAGTCCATAAGTGACTGTCGTTAACTGGTAGGTGACTGGTTGTTGATTCTCGTCGATCCACAGGATTCTCTGAAGATCCCAGTCATCTTGGTGAACTCGTATCTGGCGGAACATCTTGACAATATCCGTGCCAAATACGAGCCTGTGCCTTCTCATCCAAGTCAGGATAACCATTGCATCGTTCTGTAATTTTTCACCAGAATACAGTATATCGTTAATTGACATACCTGATGAACTGGGGCTAGAGCCATTGAATACGACTCTCAGCTTCGTTGTGATGGCCTCCTCTCTCAGTACCCCGTGATATGGTAGATAGTAAGCTGGCACGGGTTCTGGAGTCTCTGGTGCTATTCTCATGTGCCCCAGTGCTGCGTACTCGTTGATGAACTCTCTGTACAACTGGGAGTATGCTTGATGTGTTGAGTCGACTCACGATCGATTTGAGTTGACGTGCTGCTTTGAATTTCGATTCTCCGAGCGCTGCTGCTGAAGTTTTGAGGGGCAGTCTCACGATGTATCGCCCGGTGTTGTCTCTGCTATGAGTTGCTCTAAAGTGCATCTCGCACTCGTACTCATCTGGTGAAAGCTCTGATGTTGATGATCTCTCGTTTGGCAGTTCTTCCTGGACCCAAAATTTCTGGAGAAGCTCTAGAAGTTGTTCATTCGAAGATTCTCGTACAGCTGATAGAGATACCTTTATTGAACAAT